TAATTGTTATCTAAATAAATTTTTTTTAACAAGTCGGAGTTCAATATACCGATTGTCAATTATTGCTTGTCTTTGCAAAAAAGTGTCGGAGGATTAAATTATTCACACGTGTCCGCGCTTGAATTAAATTATTCACACGTGTCCTCGTAATTGTTATCTAAATAAATTTTTTTTAACAAGTCGGAGTTCAATATACCGATTGTCAATTATTGCTTGTCTTTGCAAAAAAGTGTCGGAGGATTAAATTATTCACACGTGTCCGCGCTTGAATTAAATTATTCACACGTGTCCTCGCTTGAATTAAATTATTCACAGGTGTCTTTGCAGAAAAGTGTAGGAAGAGATATTATTACCTAATTTCTTTTAGTACAAAGCGACGACTTAGTTTATTACGTGCATTGAATTTGAATCTTTCACCGTGATCCAAAATTCCAAATGCATCTTTGACTCTCAATGATAAAAATAGGAAAGAAAACGAAATGGGTACACTAAACTCTCAACAAGAACTTTCAGCATTTTGCGAAAAAAATATTAAAATTTTTCTATAATGATACTAAATCCTTTAATAACTATTGGAATTGTCAAAAATCTCAAATAAGTTTTTTTGCGTTTTGTAGATAACTCTTATGCCAACATAAGTCCACGTTTTGTGTTAGCTATACATTTTAGATCCTAAATATTGATTAACATCGTCATGAGAGTTTTCTGCAAAACACAAATTGTTATTAGGAATTTTCTTCAATTCCAATAGCTATTCACGTTTAGTGTGATTTTAAAAGTTTTCGAGGGTTTGCTGCAAAACTAAATTGAACGCAACCATTCTTCTTCGATTATATAATAATGATAAACTCTCATAAAAGACCACTTTTTATAGATACAACAAGACTGTAGAATTTACTCAGAAAGAATGATTGGGGTCCTTGACACTTTGCTATTGGATCTCTGAATTATCTTCCAAAATGGAAAAACCATCAAATTAAAAATTGCCAAAAACAACCTTGTGCCAGTCGGTTAGTGGATCATCAGAATTTTTAATTGGATTTTATAAATGGCTTATAGAAATGAACATGGAACAAAACTATGCAACTATATTAAACGACGACTCCATTTCTGGAGATAGGAAAAAAAAAAAAGGCAACTCAGTGGAAGGAGAAGTTTCTGAAGTGCTCCGCCATCAAATTTTAAACTCGACGATTATTAGAAATTATTGTATTTTTTTCACCGATTTTTGTTTGTACTGATTTAAAATTTGACCGCTGAAACACGTAAAGCATGTAATCATTCTCTCTACACGATCCATGAACCTTACTTCCAAGAAATTCTTGTTAACAAATAGGTTGGGTGTATCGTATATTTTGTAATTAAATAACAGTTATTATAACATAATTATAAATTAATAATTATGGGTTTGCTGTTGTGCTGTCGGAGTGCACCAGTGGGTTCACACATCACATCACATCCTACCTCAGAGTCAACTGAGGGGCAAAAAAAAACCCCTAACTTATGTATTATTTATTTCATTATTACCATTATATTATTTTGAAAGAAAAAGAGCAAGAGAAGAAAGGCCGACATATAGGGCGCGTTTGGGTGAAGGTTTTGGCATCGGGTCTTGAGCAGAAAGCCTGTCAAAATTGACGTTTTGGTAGGCTTTCTGCTGACAAAAAACTTATTTTTTTGTCAACCAAACGGGCCCATAACTTCCGGTGTGCGACATCAGCTGTAGCATAATTTTTTAAAAAATATAAAAATTAGAAAGAAAAAAAATTTGCAGCGTAAGCTGATTTTGGTTGTTTGGTTCAATGTAACAACAAAAGCAATGCAGGCGCTGCAATTTACTGTGCATGACGTTGTAATTTTGTTTTGCTCAGTTCTAAAAGTTGATATTTGCACAGCTTGCAGTTGTAATTGCAAGCGCTCTGGATATCAAATAAAGCTTCATGACTCCTGTAATTGATCAATGATACAACCTTTTTCCTCCAACATTACAAGCACACTGAATATATTTACATTAGTATATAGATATGAACGAGGATTTAGAAAAAACCGCTCCATATACGGGGGTAAGGATTCGAATATCTGACTCTCCGCAGAGCCCACAACGATGAGAGCCTTGTGCGCTAGGCCACCATTAAAGGATATGAACAAGGACAACCACAAGACAAAAGTGACTCCTTACAAGGCCCTTTATGAACAAGGAATAACTTGTTGTTTGGGATGGTAAACCATCTGATTTACAAAAGCTTAGAGAGAGAAAGAAAGCATTGCCTGTTCATAAAAATGAAGCGAGTTAGAAGATGATAACTGACTTGTGATCACATCTAGGAAAAAGCAATGAGATTCACATGCTCATAAAGAATGCCATATTTTAATGGAATCAAGTTAGAAACATAATACTGAAAAATCATAAAAAGTATTAAGTATTTTTGACCAAAAATTTCATAGATAGCATTAGGTAGGCTGTTTTCTGATGGCATAAGATGCAACAACCACCAATAATAATAAAAACAATAATAAAACAAGTTTCCAAGAACAGAGTTTTACCCTGCTGCCTAGTTTATGGTGTTGCAAATAAAGTGAATACGCCTCAAAATACAGATCAAGGAAATTGGTTCATTAGTCCTGTGCATTCTGATACAGAAACTTCATAGTTCATGGTCAAATTAATATGCTATTTCTTGTAAATAATGGAAGAAATTCTCCACTTCGAGTCCAGTAATTGGTCCCTGATCTAGCAAATTGATTAAGATTTGCAACAGTATGTAACATGTACACAATGCTTAGCTCTTGAAAATGATCATTTGATTTGTGTACAGAATTCTTATCATTGATTTGAACTTCTTTCCGAGTGAGATTTCTATAAACTTCCCATCTTATTTAACATCGCTTCTTGGCCCAATAACCAATTTCATGAGTTCTTTGTTCATTATATTAGAGAGCTAAGTCAATTATCCTATAAAGCATAGTCCAAACTGCTTTATGACCTCAAATTGTCATGATATTTCAGTAGGTTTATAACAAGTCACCTATGTAAAGAATGTGACTAACATCGTTAAAGTTCATAAATTTATCAGGTTAGTAAGACATACCAATCTTCCTCAAGTTGGAAGGCAAATTTGTTAAACACCAGCACAAATCTGATGAAGGTAACTCACCTAATTATATTTTCCAGACACGAACTGGCATTGATCAGCCTCATTAATCGAGTACTATATCAAACGGACTCCTAGTAAAGATCTTATGGGAGTCATTTTATATAACTAGGGCTGTCCAAAAAGCCCGTGGCCCGGCTGGGCCGGAA